GTTACTGTTTGTAGTGCATGAAGAAGCATGGGCATTTTAATTGTAAATTAACCATTCATCAGGTTCATGAGAATCCCAGCACAGCAGAACACTCAGGAAGTGCCTTCCTCCAGGATACAGCATTTCAGAAATGAGGGTGATGGCCCTGGTCTTGCTCCTGTAAAAGAACACCACCCTGGTGCACAAGGCCAGGCAAGAGCCACCAGCAATGGACAGTGAAAGACTCCCTCGGGGCTTTGCCTCTCCTCCATCTGGCAGAAGGCGTGAGTGCCCGTTGGATCCAGGCATACATGCAAATGCCTGGGGGTACATGCAAATGCCTGGGTGTCTGTTAGGTTTGTTTAAGAAATATATAGTAGCTTCCTGGGAGTCATGGCTTTTTTTTTTTTTTTTATCCAGAAATAGAAGAACTTCAAGTGTTGGATGACACTGAAAGAGGTTCCCAGGTTCCACTGGGAAGAATTAAAATTTATGCCAAAAACAGAAAATGGAAAACGTACTATTTGTTCTTAAAAATAAAGAGTTTCTGTTTAACATGTTTTGGCAGTTTGCACTTCTGTAACTTAATGGCTTTAACTTCTAAAATTACTTCCTTTTCTTATGATCAAGGAAAAGTACCTCTGATACAAAGTCACTTTCCTACGTTTTTCTGCAACTCATGGTTGTACGTAAATGTGTTTTGTGGTGACTTAATGCAAACAGTGTCTCTTAAAAATAAAATGGGGGCCGGCGCTGTGGCATAGTGTGTAAAGCCGCCATCTGCAGTGCTAACATCCCATATGGGTGCCGGTTTTAGTCCCAGCTGCTCCACTTCCAATCCAGCTCTCTGCTACAGCCTGGGAAAGCAGTAGAGGATGGCCCAAGTCAATGGGCCTCTGCATCTGTGTGGGAAGACCTGGAGGAAGCTCCCGACTCCTGGCTTTGGACTGGCACAGTTCTGGCCAAGATGGCCATCTGGGGAGTGAATCAGCAGATGGAAGACTTCTCTCTCTCTCTCTCTCTCTGCCTCTGCCTCTCTGTAACTCTATCAAATAAACAATAAATCTTTAATAAAATATGTATCAATTTCAGATTTAAAAAACTGTATTGTTTAACTCAATAGGTGATACAGCTTCAGCAATTTTCACTTTATTTATTTATTTTTTTAATTTAGTTGACAGGTAGAGTTACAGACAGTGAGAAAGAGAGACAGAGAGAAAGGTCTTCCTTCCGTTGGTTCACCCCCCAAATGGCCGCTACGGTCAGCGCTGCACCGATCTGAAGCCAGGAGCCATGTGCTTCCTCCTGGTCTCCCATGCAGGTGCAGGGACCCAAGCACTTGGGCCATCCTCTACTGCCCTCCCGGGCCACAGCAGAGAGCTGGACTGGAAGAGGAGCAACCGGGACTAGAACTCGGCGCCCATATGGGATGCCGGCACCCCAGGCAGAGGATTAGCCAAGTGAGCCATGGTGCCAGCCCCAGCAATTTTTACTTTGCTTTATAAATTATTAGTAATTTTTATGCAATAAGCTTGAGTTCTTTCATAGATAGAAATTATTGCATAAATTGAAAGAAATAAAAGAAGTTAAAACTAAAGAAACAAATATACAGTTTGATATTCATATATTTAGTATTATCTTCCTATTTTTATATCCAAAGATTGTTACAAGTAATCCATATTTATCTAGTTATGAGTGTATATATTTTTTGTATTTGTGTGTGTGTTTATGTTTTTGTCTTCAAAACTGGAAAAGGAAGTGTTTTAGTATGGGCAATGTGGCTACATGTCTGTGTTCCTAATTTCTAAATTTTATATTGACCAAATTCATGTTCATGTACTTACATAGTTATACTTATTTCTCTATACATGTGTGTGCAAAGTATTTTTCTCGTGTGTGTTTGCATTAATATTTATCAGTTTGATCTGTTGTCAGCTGAGGAGACTATTCATTGAGAGACTAACATCAAGAACAAAGAAATGTTTGGAAAAAACATCAAGTTCCTAGAATAAGAATCCTTGCACAGCCAGTGGTCTTGGGTGTCTCTGTGATATGGTGCCTTGGGCATATTCTATTTGCAATCTCCAAACACCAGCTCTCACCCGGAAGCCTGAGCCCCAGCTTGGCTACACTCATCAACCATCCAGGTCAGGAGACTGGGCTGAACACTTGACATTCGACCTAATTTGTTAGGGAAATTGATGGCCAGAAATCATTTGCAGGACAATCACCTGTGTTAGGAGCTGCTGTGCAATCAGGTTTGCCTTGGATTCTTGGGCCCCTCCCCAAGTGGTCAACCCTCTGTTATGGCGATTTAATCTGTAGGTCTCTTTAAATCCACTTAGAAACAGGCAGAACTGGTTTGCTCTGGCTTGTGTTGCTTTCAGTGCTGGATCCCCAGTCTTGGCCCTGGGAATCCTCCAAGCACCCAGAGAACCTCTAACCTGGCAGAGCCACTCCTCTGTCTGAGTGCCACTCCTCTGTCTCAGTGCCCTCTCACGCATCCACACTCATGTGAATCCACAGCCCCTCACACAGGCCCATCACTGATGGCCAAATGATTGGAGTTGCTCTGTCTTTAAAATACAGAATGGTTCTCAGCTGAAGCTATACATCTTGAGATTACTAAAAAATCTTGGGAATATTAAAAAAAAAAGTGATGTGAGGTTTTCCAAAATGGTGGAGTAAAAAGCTTTATCAAATCCTCTCCCCCTCTCCAAAATAACAGTATAAAGTTACACAAGAATGTCAAAAACGAAAACATCTGTGGACTCTGGAGATCAATCAATGGCACAGAACAAAAGGAGATCAAGCCATGCTACTGAAACAAAGATCAGCGAGAGCCTGTGCCGTTGTTACAGCTCTACCAGCACAGGGCACCTTGCAGAACCAGCACACTTGCTGTCAGAGGACACTATAGTCATTAGCCACATAACGACGTCTGGACAGCAAGGGACCACATCTGCCAAGGTGGTCCCATAACATTATAAAGGACCTGAAAAATCCCATCAGAACAAACATCACAGCACAATGCATCGCTCACGTGTCACGGTAGGGCTGGTGTACACGCATTTATGTTAGTACATAATATTCCATAATGATAACTATAAATGACCATGTCTCTAGGTCATGTATTTACTGTGCTACATTATACCCTTCTTTTAGACTTACGTCTTTATCTGAAAAATTTTTTTTATTTATGTCTTTATCAGAGTGCTGGGGAGGAGAGGGAGAGATACAGAGGTCTTCCATCCACTGGTTCACCCCTTAAAAGGCCACAGCTGCTAGAGCTGGTCCAGGATGAAGTCAGCAGCCTGGAACTCCACCCAGATCTTCATGTCCAAGTACACAGACAATCATCTGCTGCTTTCCCAAGCATATTAGCAAGGAGCTAGATCAGAAGCAGCCAGAGCTGATACTGGATGCTGGCATTGCAGGCGGCAGCTTGGCTCACTGTGCCACAATGCCGGCCCCTTTTGCATCATTATTGTAGAGTGCATTTCTACTTATAAAAAGAGTTACTGTGAATTGTAGAGCAGCATGCCAGGTTACACCAGCAGCATCCTCAGACTTCTGGTGTTTACCGTGTGTTGAATGCATCAACAGACCAAGTTGGGTGACACAAGAACTGCAGCAGACTTGTAAATTGTCTCAATTTTGAATGCATCTTTCAACCTCACACAGCTACATCAGCAAACACTGCAAGACATCTTGGCTCCTGGTCTTGGTGCAAACCATGAGCAGTCATTGGTTAACCACTAAGCCATGCATTCAGGAGGACAGCTCCCATAGAACCAGGCTTAAAAATAAAAACAAGAATAAAAAATGGAAAACTGAGTGGAGACATAAGCAGTCACACACCATGGAAGAGAAAGACCCCACAAATTAGTCCAGGCTGGTTATTAAAGGAACAACAAAGCATCTCCTAACCTTGCTCCATTTTGTGCTCCATACCTCTTGATGTCAAATGCTGAGGACAGCAACTAATGCTCAGAACCTAGCCCAGCGCCCAGCATCATTCGGGGGCACAAAGGAAATCCTTCGGCCTAGCTGTTAAGATACTGGTTAAGATGCTCACATCCCACGTTGGAATGCCACCGACCTGCAGACCTCATGGCCTCCCTTTGGAGGAGGTGTCCTGTGGGGCTCTGGCCTGAGCCCACATTCTACCATGTCTTCTTTCATATCAGCTCTTCTTGTACTAGTAGGAGAATGAATTGTGCAAGTGCTTGGGGCTTGAAGCAGAGACATGCACTCCCTGGTAGTCACTGAGCATCTCACTTAAGCAAGAGCACAACAGGCAGCCAACCTCAGTACAAGTCTCAGTTCTGCCACTCCCTAGTCACGTGACCTAACCCCTGGGCCACTGCCCTCCCAGCCCAATGAAATACAAAAGCAGGATCAAACTTTGGGCATCCATATACTTGTGGACAAAAATCTCAGCTAACTAGGAATGAGGATATGCTAAACTAGAAATGCTCATTCTTTATAGCAGAACGAATCATTAACTGTGCACAATTCCATGTTAGGAGACCAGGTAAATATTTGCAGAATTGCTAACAGCCAAGTGGAGCTATACCACATTCAACTTATCTTGATAAACTCTCTCTTGGTGTCGGGGTGGGGGGCAGTGCTTGGGTCCCTGCACCCCTGTGGGAAACCCAGAAGGAGCTCCTGTCTGCTAGCTTTGGGTCAGCCCAGCTCCAGCCGTTGTGGCCATTTGGGGAGAGAACCAGCAGATGGAAGACCTCTCTCTCTCTCTCTCTTTCTTTCCTTTTTTGTCTGCCTCTACCTCTCTGTAATGCTAACTTTCAAATAAATAAATAAATCTTAAAAAAAAGTTCCTCTCAGAGTCTTGCAAATGGCTTAAATAAAGGCTGAGGAGTCCATGTAACCAAAATAACTTGCCCAGCTTTTGGAGTAACAATGATAAAAGATGAGAGAGAGAGAGAGAGAAGGAGAGAGGGAGGGAGGCAAGGAGGGAGGGAGGGAGGGAAGGGGGAAGAGAGAAAAGGATTTTTAAAAACTGTCATGTAATAATTTATCATCTGCTAGGGCCGGCGCCGTGGCTCACTTAGTTAATCCTTCGCCTGCGGCGCCGGTATCCCATATGGGCACCGGGTTCTAGTCCCGGTTGCTCCTCTTCCAGTCCAGCTCTCTGCTGTAGCCCGGGAAGGCAGTGGAGGATGGCCCAAGTGCTCGGGCCCTGCACCCGCATGGGAGACTAGGAGGAAGCACCTGGCTCCTGGCTTCGGATCAGCGTAGCTCCGGCCGTAGTGGCCTTTTGGGGGGTGAACCAATGGAAGGAAGACCTTTCTCTCTGCCTCTCTCTCACACTGTCTAATTCTACCTGTCAAATAAATAATAAAAAAAATTTATCCTCTGCTAATTATTTGATTTCACTATATTTGCTTAACTGAAAAATATATACATACATCTATATGTATATATATATAGCACTTCTGTGATCTCATTATACTCCTTGGAAACATCTTTATTGAGTTTTTCTCTTTAAATTGTTGCTTTTGTATAAGTGGCACCCAGCAAAAATGTTTCAAAATTAATTCCTCTCTCTCCTTATTTAAAAAAAAATCTGTAAAATTTGGTTTTGCTATTAAATTAGGGATCCAGCTTAAAGTAAAGTAAATGGGCTCCTTAAAATACTTCCACAGACTCAACATGAAATATAACCACTTCAGCAAGATAAAATCTGGACATGAATATTAGACAAAGTTGCCATGTATAACGTAAGTTATAAATGTATAAGCCACAGAGCCAAGTAATGAGTAGGCAATTAGTAGCATAGTCAAGGGATTTGATGAAAACCAGAGCTATTTCTGTTATCAGATGAGTGAGCATTCTAAATGTTTTCCTAAGGACAACATGTGCTCCTCCATAATGGGATGAGAGCCACTCTAAAATGAGAAGTCGATCTCACTTGGATGCATTTTATTGGAAAACGCTCACCAGGGGGCAATTCCTGCTCCAAGTGGTAGAGGACTAAGCAGACCGTGACATGTCATCACCAAATTCCATGCAAGGATTAATGGCTCCAAAGAACAAGATGCCTCTCTAAGTCTCCCTGTAACCTTACACCCAAGTGGGACTTGTCCCGCCATTCCAGTCCCCCTTACACACCAAGGGGCAGACGGTGGCTTTCCACAAGCCACAGAGGAGCAAGGCACATGGATAATCCCGTGCCATCATCTCTCTTGGTTCAGGCCAAGTCATAGCACTCATGGGACCTGCCAAAACAGAAGCTCGCCTACCCTGGGGAGAGTGGGTTAGCGAGACCTGGAATTTGCTTAGAGCCATCTCTCACCACAAGGGAAGGCTACAATGTCCCTGGAAAAATATTGTCTGATTCTGCTACTAATTTGGTTCAAACGACCTTGAAAGGCTGAGGGATTTCAATAACTCTTCCACCTCATATATAAAAGGGCTGCAACAATGAGATGTCAGGACAGCACCTGTGGTCTTCCCACACCGGCGCTGAGGAGGCAGGAGCAAGGCTATCGGCTCACCTGCAGATCCATCTGTGAGGTACAGTGTGTTGAGTCTGTGTTTTCAGTTATGGGCCTGTCTCATAGTTGGGGTTGGGAACTGAAGGAGGCACCGCTCCTTATATGTGTGTCTGTTATTGGCCACTGGGACTCATTTGCCCCTCACCTTAAACACCCTACCTTGTATCAGCTGGGAATAACTTAGGAAGACCAGTAGATGTCTGGCATCTCTGATTTTTTTCCATTGTTTTCTAAATGTCAATGATGCATGCATTTCGAGCTGAAGAGTGTGGAAAAGCCAGAAATCGGGGTCAATCTCACTGAGCAAGACCTCCAGATCAACCAAGATAAGGAATCTATCTCGTAAGGGTGCCAGACCACGGGAGCTTCTTAGGAATCTGGTGGTCCGGGTGGTCTTCAGCTGGGGGGTTTTAACTGCTTGAGAAACCCGGGACTTGGGAATTTAACTGTAGAACTTCCTGTTGCTTTAGTTTATACAGCCTCTGATTAGATAGGCGTAAGTGCATGAGCCTCACCCGAAGCCAAGAGTCAATAAATGCATTTGATTAAATTGATATTCAATTTAAAATATGTTTAAAAGTGATTTCAGTAATATTTAAATGAGTCAATGAATTTAAGAATTGCCATTTGAATCGACTCCTCCAAATTGATGATGATGCTCTCTGCAAGTCCAGTTTTCCCAATAGATGTAAACTCTAGTGAAAAACTGCTTCTGTGGAGGGTGAGGCAGAGACAGAGTCGCTCCTTTATGAAAAGCCAGTTCCCTTTTTGCTGAAAGCTCATCTAATCATTGATGTTTGCCCTCCACATACGTGCAAGGCAACCAGATATGCTCATCTGAAAGTGAAGAAACTGAAACACAAAACCCTGTGTTTTGAAGACACACAATATGCCCTTGACCTTGATGATGTTGACAGTTTTCCTGACTATTGAAGCCAGAGGGACCTTGTTGATCCTCTAGACCAAAACCTGCATTTCACAGATGAGGAGACTGAAGCACAATATCTTTTCGAAAATTCTTTTTAAAAAATTTTAAGAAAAGTTAATGAAACCCAAATTTTTTAAATTAAATCTGTATTTAGGAAAGAATTATGTTAACAATACTATACTTGCTATAAGTCAAATACCATTCAAAGAAACAGGGAGAAGTGCACATTTATGACTGTCCATTTAGAATACCTACTTACGGTTAGAGTTTTGAATATTTCTTACCACCTCAAACTACACAACTTCGCACTTAGCACAAGAATGCAACAAAAATGCTCATTTTGTTTAATCGATGATTTCTTTTTATGTTGGAAGAATAACTGAATTGAGACACATTATTCATTGCCTCTCTATCAGCACTACCATGATTTACTGGCCCATTAATTCAGTAAACACTTTGGGAGTGCCAATCGCTTTTAGAAATCTGTCTTGGGATGCTCTCCTGAGTACAAGACCTTAAGCTGTGCTATGTCTTTTCACTATGAGACGAATACATAGACAGCTGGGTTTTTTCTGCCCTTGGGGAGACTGGAGGTACCTCAATAAAAGGAGTCCTTCCAGGTACAGAAACTGTTCCAACACCCACATCAATACAGAGGGCAAGACAGAATTATACACTAAACATTCCATGGTTTGGGACCTTGGGCCCACAATTATGCTTGCGAGAGTTTATGCTATAGATACTCCTAAATGTGAATGATCGGTACTCTTCACTCTGGAATTTTTGGAAATAGACTCAAATAGGAATGAATTTAAATGACCGTCAATACAAGGACCATTAAATAATTGTGGCCTATCCACATCGGATAATTACACCGCCATGAAAGACGATGTGTTCTGGAAAAGTCACATTTTTCTTAAGTGAAAAAAGAAAAATGCTCTCTAGTAGGCATAACTCAGTGTGCAGTGAGGAAGCAGGAAAAAGATTCACACATTCAATTTTACATTCTTCAGACTTTTTGAATGTCTTACCTCTTGTATGCAGCTACATTTCCGTTTTTAAAAGTACAGCGCTTCTTTGCTAGTGACCTTTCGGCAAACGACTGTAGGGATTTTCCGAGGAGGAAGAGTGACCGTGAGCCATCACTCTCATGAGCATCCCCAAACCCACGAAGTGGCCTAAAGCATCATGGCGGGCAAGGGCAGGTGCATGCTGGCCGAGTCCCCATGCCTTGGGCTCTCCCAGGGCCAGCCTTCCAATACCACCCCCACCGCCTCCCAGACGGAGCTGGCTTCCCTCTGCCCCAGTGCCACAAGGGGTCCTCCTGAGTCGGCCATGTTTGCAAATGGCTGCCTCTCTCAGGCCAGGCCTCTCATGTCTCAGAGGAACTACACCAGATTAATTAGAATACTCTGGCTTGTTCAGAAGTTGCAGCCTGTGGGGCCATCGCCACCATGATTCTCTTCTCTCTCAGCAGGGAAGACAACAGGGTGACAAAGTCTTCATTCCCGGCGTTCCATTTTCTTAAAAAAAAAAAAAGATGTTTCTGGAAACATCCTCTCTTTGAAAAGGGAATTATAATCCATGTTCTGTTCAGAAAACAGTGGTGTTGATTAGTGAACCCCAAATTCCCATTGGGTGACGAGAAGAGGAGAAACAAAATTGTAACCAAATGTCATTTGGCCAACTTACTTTTTTCAAAGGTTTTTAATAGGACCAGCATTTAAAATCTTTTTATAGAAGTGATCACCATTAGCTCAAAATTCTCTGGAGAATTTTGACTGATGAGTGAGTGCTGTCGGCATAGGAGAACTTCATGTCAAAGGCCCCTGGTCCCAGTGCTACCAGGCATGGATGATCTCTGCCCCTCAGCGGAACTGGGCTGCCAGGGATGTCTCCGGGCATTGCACAATGAGTGAAATGGCCTCCCCAATCCCTTCCAGCCCCCCCTGGGTGAGTGGACATCTAATGAATGCTTGCATATGACTAACATAAACCTGGGGTGGCTATCAGTGCCTGGGGTGGCAGAGAGCTGAGCTGTCTGCTCCTAGGTTGTCGTGTTTTATTTAACTCTGCCTACAGCCAGGTGGTGTGTCCTTCCCTCTGAGATCTGAGAGAGCTGCGTCATCCATGGGGAACTCACAGGTTTTCTGTTCGGCCATGTAGAGCTGAAAACCTGGTGACCCAAAGACATGATCTGATGGTCCACGTGATGCTTTTAAATGGTGTAACTTCATTATCAGCATGTACAAATAAGGAACTTGCATGCTTTTCCAAAATCAGGATTTCTAGATTCTTTTGAAAAACTTGAATCTCAGGTTGTACTGAGACCACACTTACTGGCAACCTTTCATGGGAGCTAAGTGGCAGCTTCTCCTTTAATTGGGCCCCTCATTCTAGGCCTTTCCACACACAGAGCCTTCTAAGCACACCTGGGCCCTACAGGCTGCTGAGTTTGTGGCCTGTGATTTGCAGGTAATCAACAGTATGGCTATATCAGGCCATTCAGGATTTTATTAATCACTTACTGTGTGAGGTACAGAACTTCTACTGTGGTGGTTTTTTCTAATGGAAGCCAGTTAACCTTGTGAAAGTATGTATTATTCCATTTTATAGAAGAGAAAAAAGAAACTTAGTTCAAGTAATTGGGGTGTAGGGGTCACTAACTCCTAATATGAAGAAGATGGGGCTGGGCTCCAGGACAAGATATGGATATAGATAGAATAGATATAGATATGTAGATGTAGATAGATATAGATATGTAGATATAGACATAGAAATAGATATAGATATAGATATGGATATAGATATAGACATAGATATAGATACATAGATGTGGATACATATAGATATGTAGATGTAGAAAAAATATAGATATGTAGATATAGATATGTAGATGTAGATAGATATAGATATGTAGATATAGATATATAGATGTAGATATAGATATAGATGATATAGATATAGATGGATATGGATAGATGTTCACAGTGAAACTCTCTCTCAACTGGAGAGTAGCCCATAACTCACACCTGCTGATGTCAGGAACATGCACGTGCTTGGTCTAAAGGCTTGTTTCAAAGCTGTTTAAAAATCTTTTTATTGTTAAGTAATTTTATATTTAGAGAAAGGGCAAAGACACTACAGAGTGTTCCCATCTAGTTGTCGCTCAGCTTTCTCTAATGTTAGCATCATATATAGCAATGGGACATTTATCAAAAATATAAAATTGACATTGGCACAATAAAATTCATTGCAGACATCATTTGGATCACTCAAGTTTATCTACTATTGCCACATTTACATATATATATATATATATATATATATAAAACAAAATGCAATACAATGTTTTGAATCCTGGAACAGGAAAAAAGGAAACATACATACATACATATACATACATGTATATTAAAATATGTATATCATACGTGAAGGATCTTCAGCAAGTTCATGGAAATACATATTATGCAAAAGCTGTTAGTGGATTTCAAAAGTTTTGCACTAAAATAAACTTTTAATTCTATTTGTCATAAACTTTTGGAAGTACCCCCTTAGCGTGTCTCCTAGCCTCCTCCAAACAGTGGGAGTTCTTCAGTCCTGTCTCATCTTTCATGACCTTGTCACTTTTAATGAGCAAGGGTCAGGTGTTTTGTAGAATGCCCCCCTGCCTTGGAGCTTGTGTGCAGTTTTCTCTCAAATAGACTCAGCTTTCTGGACTTGGAGGAATCACACTACAGAGGGCACATGATCTGTCACATCACGGGCACCTGATACCAACGGTCCCCATGCCTGGTGATGTGGATCTTCACTGCGAGCTAAAGGCGGCGCTTGTCTCTCCACTGTCAAAGAACTCTTCTCCCCGGGGCCGCCAGCGCATCCCTGTCTCAATGGGAGGGAAACTCAGCTTCATCTCCTGGAGGGAGGAGGGATACCAAAGAATTTGTGTTCATCCCTGAAAACCACCCCAGTGACTAGTACATTTTTTGGAGAGAGATTTTTGAGGTCATAGAAATATCCTGTTTCCCCTTCGAGTTTCGTCTGCTAATTTTGCCCCGCATCGGCGGGTTCTTCCTGTAGCAGTTACTAGC